TCTTCTCGAATTATTATATCTGTTATAAATGTAAATGCATTATAAGAGAAGAGTAAATCTTTAGGTAGCTTACATTTAGAGATGTAAGCCGGTAGGGTCATCGGCGGCGCGGCTGTGATATTCTAAGGTTTTCTGTGCTTGATTTTGCTATTCCTTTACTATTCGCTGAAATTAATTCTTTCATTTCAATAAGGCTGACTCGACTCCGAAAAGGATTTTCTTTACTGAGATATTCTGTCAGTAGAATTTGAAAACAACTCTCGCGACGAATCATTCGGCTCAAGGGAGTTTTCGCTCAAGATGCGCTTCATTGAAAGTTTGTATTTTTTATTCTGATTTCTTCGGAAATTTCTAATCTCTCATAAATAACTGATTTCACTAGGAAAATTCTTTGATAAGAAAAATATGCACATATTCATTCTTGTCATAATAAACATTATACTTCATATAACTAATTGTATTTCTCACATATAGTGTTCTCTAGTATACGTGAGGGTGTAGATGCAGTTGTGGATTGATATGGGTGTGGATAGGTATACGTGAGGGTGATTGAGGGTAAAAGACTAATGCATTTCCCATACATATACCGACGCTCACGTCACCCACGTCCGCATCAAAACTAAAATGTACATTGAAGCCCACATTAATTCTCATGCACCCACTTACCCTCACAGATATACGCTGTATCGAACTCTTTTACGATTTTAAGTTAATTGCGCAGCTATTTTATTTCCGAGCCCTGCATTTTCTCTCACGTCCGCAACTCCTACATCATCAAAAACAGCTTATCCTGTTCCTACATATTGTGGATCAATGTAAAACAATATACTTAACGTACAAAAGACGTCCTGCATGCAGCACTGCAGAACATGGCAGGTTTTAGTAGGTTCTACAGCTCCTGCATCATACATTGCAGGTCGTCGCAGATTCTGGGAGGTTCTGCGAGACTTTCACGGACGTGGCAGCTTCAGGGAGACCCTGCAAGGTCCTGTAGGATGTAGCAGCTTCCATGAGGTTCTCCAAAACGCTGTAGGATGTCACAGCTTCCGGAAGATTGTGCGAGACTCTGTAAAATATGGTAGCTTTTATGGGGTGCTGCGACGCGGTGTAAGACATGTCAGCTTCTGAGAGATTCACCGAAGCTCTGCAAGATGTGGAGGCTTTTTGAAACTCCTGCCAGCCACTGCAGGACGTGGTGACTATAATGAGGTTCTCCGAGGCTGCGTAAGGTGTGGCAGCTTCTAAGAGATTCTCCAAGGCCCTGCAAGATATGGTAGCTCTTATGTGGTGCTGCGAGGCTGTACAAGGTGTGGCAGCTTCTGAGAGATTCTTCGAGGCTCTGCAGGATGTGGAGGCTTTTCGAAACTCCAGCCAACCACTGCAGGACGTGGTGGCTATAATGAGGTTCTCCGAGGCTCTGCAGGATGTGATAGCTTCCATGAGATTCTTCGACGCTCTGCAGCATGTGACATTTCCCATGAGATTCTGTGAGGCTCTGCAGGATGTGGTAGCTCTAATGAAATGCTGCATGACGGTGTAGGATGTTGCAGCTTCGGAGAGATTCTGCGACGCTCTGCAAAACGTGAGAGCTTCACGAAGATTCAGGGAAACCTTGTAGGATGTGACAGCTTCAGGGAGGTACTGTGAGACTCTACAAGGAGGAGAGGCTTCTGGGAAGTTCCTCAAGGTTCCATGAGATGCGACAGCTTCTGTGAGGTTCTGTGATATGCTACAGGATGTAGCAGCTTCTGGGGAGTTCCGTAATGCCTTCGTTCAACATTGCATGCTTTGAGTTGTTTCTGAGAGGATTCAATGCAAATATAGAAAATGCACAACTCAAACGAGATGTAAAATATTCAGAATGAAAATGCTCTATGATTTTGAAAAATTCTTAAAAGCTATACATCAAAACATAAAAGTATATTTTATAGAAAATGTTTTGGTAATTTTTTTTCACTGACAGAGCCAGAGTATGTAATCGTTTGATACTTTAGATAGGTATACTATACTTAACAAGTCTACATAACTCCATCGACTGCTCTGAGGATCATCCTTTATCAGATATGCATTCACCAATACTTTCAGAATGATCTCTTTCTAAATCTACTATATTCATACGAACCAGGTGGAGATCGTGTTCCAGCAATAACAATCATAGTAGTAATGTCGGTATCAGGCTGCATATGTGCAATTTCATTTGACATATCAGTAAATAATTCACAATTAGAAGTTGATTGATAAAAACTAGCTGCTCTACAATATACTTGAGCCAAACAAGCCATTTGACACTTCATAATAGTCGACGTAATGAGATTAAGGAATGGCAAACATGTTGTATTAGCACAACGAAATTTCCACTCACGCATTGAAGACATTCGGACTGATCGTATATCTTGTCCAACCGAATGCGTAATTATCATAAATACAAGCCACAAACAAATTCCTTTTGAAGTCATTATCCACTAAACTGCAAGTTGATGAAATGAATTTAACTGTGAATAAAAGAAAAAGAATCTGTTGGGCGATAAAAACTATTTTTTTCTTCTTTTTTTTTTCTTTCTTTCATTTCATTTCATCCGTCTAATGGAAAACTAGTCATGACTTTATTTAATTTTGTAAAAACACATATCCACTCCAGAAGACGATTTTTTTTGTTGATATGTTACTTAGAGACAAATACATTCACAAACAGGACATTTTTTGTTATCTGCAAAATGATTAAAGATGAAAAGCGTATTGAATGATCGGCTCAATAAAATTAGATTTGAAAAGAAAATAATCAACATTTAGTCCCAAATGAAATTTTTTATAAAAATAAACATAATTTAAGCCATTTTGCTCATATATATATTAGATATTCATACAATATATCAGTTAATTCTCTCGTAATTCATATAGGAATAAAGAAAATTGAATAATCTACCAAACTCAAACTCAATGAATTTGAATTTTTCAATTTGCTCTAACACGAAGTATTCTATTCTTCAATTTTTGATTGATGAAAGAATATTATAATCTGTAATTCAATAGAAAGTCGCATTTTTCTTCATCAATGTAACAGTGATCTAAACAGTTAGAATCCATGTCTATGTATGATAGTATCAATGAAAAACAGAAGATCTTGATTATTAGATACATAAAAACAAACAGTTTTGTTCACTATTCTATAGTGAATTTAGTAATTATTTATCATAACAACACATTCTTAACTGTTTTTTTTCTCGAGGAAAAACATTTATTCAGTAAAAATTTGCTTTGCTTTTCTTTTTCTTCGTTTCTATGCTGCTGTAATATATAATGTATGTAGCAAAAGAAGAAGACATCAATTGGGCAATCTTTTTGATTATTTTCAAAAAGAAACGATAGAAACAGACAACTTCTGGAAAGATCCAGGTTTGATGTAATTACAAAAAGAAAAGGACATGTGTATTGAGTAAAACAATAGTGGTAGCATATGCAAACTTTTTGTAGATGGAAAACTGCATCTTCATAATTACATTAGAAAAAATACTGAACAAAGTTGATGACGTCTTTACTTTCTTTTAATATTTGAATGTATCATACATAACTACAAAACAGATGTTTTTTTCAACGTGTGAAGATTTATTTAACTTCTTTTAGATTTTAATAACAGTGGATTGTCAATTGACGAGTATGCTTGAGTATGAGTGAGGATGCTATTTTATCTCGCATCCACCCATCGCTCTGGGTTCTGATTATTTTTTATTTTGAAAAAATATTATCCATTCAGAAAGATCATATGCCTGTGTTGAAATGTTATTTGAGAACAAATATATTCAAAAATAGGCTTTTTGAGTTCTATGAGAAATGAATAAAGATGAAAACATGAAGAATAAAGTCGATCATTAGTATCGAAACGGAGAATGATCAGATGAGCTTTTTGATTACATAAGAGAACCAAAACAAACTGTATAATCTTCTTAACTCAAACTCACTACACTTGGATTTTTTGAGTGTGTATAACACACAGTACAACAACATTTCGAAAATCTCGCATTTATTTTTCTCTCATGTCATTTCTATTCTTGCGTTTTTAATTGATAGAAGAGTGTTATGACTTATAACGTAATAGATAAATACATTTTTGTGCATCAATGTGAAAATTACAATCGATTTCCGTGTATAATAGTGAAAATTGAAAAAAAACAAACAATATTTTTTAGTACTCTAAAATAAATTAAATAATTGTTTATCATAACGACACATTCTAACGTACTTTTTTCTCAATGAAAAATATTCATCCAGTAAATGTTTTACCCATGTTTTTCTTTCATTTATATGTTGCTATGATGTATTTTGTATGCAAAAGAAGAAAAAATCAGTTAGAAAATCTGTTCGATTTTTCTTAAAAAAAGAAACAATGGAAATACAGAGCTTCAAAAAACGTACATCTAAATAAATAATTATGACAAGAAAACGTTAACTTCTTTTTTGAATAGAAAACTGCATCTCCATGTTTACATTAGAAAAACTATTAACCAGTTAATGACGTCTTTTCTTTCTTCTAATATTTTGTTGAAAGGCAAATTAAGAAAAGTATTCTTTCAAAGTTTGAATATATAATATACAACGACAAGATATATGATTTTTTTTTCGACGAATAAACATTTCTTTTTCTGCTTTTCTTTCTCTCATTTTTTTCTTTTTTCAGCGTAGTGAATCTTTTTCTTCTCAATTTATTCCACCAATTTGATGAAAAAACAATCTGGCTATTTTTTTATTCTGAAAAAAAACCTTTTCCATTTGGAAAGATGATTTTCCTACGTGTTTAAATGTTAATTGAGGATATATATATTCTTAAATAAAGCTTTAAGAATTATATGAAGAACGATCGATCGAAGAAAATTGAATTTGAAAAGAAAACATAATCAACATTTAGTTGAAGATGATATTTTCTATAAAATCAAAACAATTCAATTGAAATTTATTTATATGTTCAGATCTGAATACTTCAAATGTATTTCATAGATTATACAATATATCAGTGAACTGCCACGTCATTCATATAAAATAAAGTCAACTTTTAATGTCTAAATGGAGAATAATGAGATGAGCTTTTTGATTTGACAAGAGAACCAAATGATTATATGATTATTTGTGTCTATTAAAATTACAAAATTAAGGTTTTATAGTATTGTAACGTTGATAAAATAATTGCTTATCATAACATAACATACAAAAATTATTTTTCTCAATGAAAAATCTTCATGCAGTAAATGTTTGTATTAGTTCTCTTTCTTTTTCTTTCATTTGTATGTTGTTATGATGTTTTATGAACACAGAAGACGAAGACGTTGGTTGGAAAATCTTTTTGATTTTTCTTCAAAAAAGAAACGATGGAAACAGAGACTTGATGAACACATCTAGGTTTGTTGGCATCATAATAATACAAACTGTGTTGCTTCACAAAAAAGTACGTCCAAATATCAATAATTATGGCAACTGTAAAACGGCATCTGCATGATTACATTAGAAAAACTAAGTTGACGACATCTTTTCTTTCTTTTAATATTTTATCGAAGAAAAATATTCTTTCAAAATTTGAATATAATTATACACAACTTCAAGATAAATAATTATTTCGTTTTTCTTCTTTTCATACAAACAATATTGGACCATCTAGTAAAGAATACATTGATCATATAATATTTATCCATAAATTTTATATCAATTGACATTTACAATTGATTTTTTATCTCCATACTTTTAAGAGAATATTATGATTGTATCTGTTGGTCTTATTGTCATTGAGAAAAAGAGATCAATGAAAATTGACTGAATAATAACAATCATAGCTTTAATTATGAAGTGTCACTATAAATGACAATTTCTCTCCAAATATATATGAAATGCGAAAGGCATTATATTTTCTCAAAGATCTTATGAACTAAATAAAAGAGTTTGCAACTGAAAAAAAGACGTCAATAATTTGTACATTTAAAATTCGTTGTGGGTGTGGCTGTGAATCAGCCAAAGATCAATATCCACACCCACATCCACTCTCAATATTAATCGAGTTTTGATACAATAAATTGGAATATTTTATTTCACGAATTCTGATTTTCATACTTTGTTATTATGAAATATTATTAAGATTAAATTTATTTAACGGCAAAATTTTACGTATAATTTACTGTATGACAGCAGCGATAAAATATTTCATTTTAAATAAATTAAAAACGTTTTTAATTCGACGTTTTGACTCATTTAAAGAGGGTGTGGGTGAATACACGATAGTTATCCACATCTACACCCACCGACGCCGTAACTTTGGTTCACTACATACGATCAGTTTTTACATAACAATCAGTCGGTATATTCTGTCTACAATTTGAACATTTGAATGTATTTGCACATAGTGACATACAATATTTACATGGAGTAAAAGAAGTACGTGTCGATCTAATCTGAGTAAGTTGTTGTTTCAATTTATGCCACGTATGTTGTATATTATCAACTTCAAAAAGAGTTAATAGAGATAAGAGATCTGACATACATTTAATGAATAGATGATGACGATGTTTCAGTAAAATTAAAATACTAGCCATATCTTTCATAGTATGATGACGTTTTGTTGAAATTTCATCTTCGTGTAACCTGCAAATGATTAAAATATAATATGAATATAATCACAGTTAGTTTAAGATTTAACAGCTCGATTAAACTTATAAATCAAATATATATCACTCAATGAAAATTGAATAGTATCTACCGTAAGGAATAATACCTGTCATACACATTGATATCTGGTTCCCTTTGATCTACATCCATATTGACTTTATCGGCAATATCTGAAGAAACGTCCATTTGAACATCAGCTTTGAGGGTGTGGGCGTAAGTGTGGTTGTGGATGATGTCTTTAGATCAACAAGGGACACACATTCACATTTACACCTACACCCACGCATTGCAGGTTTCTTTGGGTTTGAGCATCCGATAGATGTCATACCAATAATAAGATTTTCTCTATTAAATCGAATAGATCGTGAAACTTCGTTTATCACAAATGTCGTTATCCAAATTGATCGAGAAGTAGATTTTACTACAATTCCATCAGAATTTAATAATATCTTTTTTTGACTGAATCATCATTGCGTTCCAGAATAACTCTAGATTGCGGTTTTATATATAGGGCATGATTTGTTGTTGGTTGTGAAATAAACTTATCACTATTAATGCATGGCAAAGATAATGTGGAGTGAGTCATATTTGAAGAAACTTTGTGACATGACGGGCATGAAATTACAGATTCTCCAGAAATTTTTCTTTGGTATGGACTGTAAATAAGGGAGCGAATATGTTGAAAATCAGATGGACAATTATGCAAATGTTCGCTATACATCTGTTGGTTAATGACTGGCTTGATGTTAAAAGCGAGATAGTACTTGTTGCCGTGAATGCTTAGACTCAATTGAGATGAAAATGGATGAAATTATAACACTAACATATACGAACTTAAATGTAGAAAAATAGACGTTTATTGATAAATAATATAACTGTTGTTAATACGAAGAAAAATATGTAGAATGCCGTATTTTCCAAGATTATATATATATATCTACAAAAGAAGTAAGAAAATATACGGCTAATAATGATGTTGACTGAATAAACGAGAACTATAGAAATGAAAATAAAAAATCACAAAAAACCAATAATCGACTATAAAGAATTCATACTAGTTCATATGAATGATCATGATGATGACGACGATGATAATTAATTCTTTCCATATCACTAATATACTGTCGAATTTGTTTATGTGTCCATTGTCGTTGTATAACAATTGCTAATGTTGTAATAGCTAAACATTGATAACTATCAATTGCATGATAATTAGGTAATCGAAATCTTTAATGTACTGTTGTACATCAAAAATATAAATGGGATGAAGTATAGGATCCTAACAAAACAGATCATATTCTTATAATAATACTGTTATATAATTAAGATTTCTCTATATGTAAATACGGTTTTTGCAACTAAAAAGAATTGATAATAATCCATAGATTCGATTAAGCAGAACATATCGATATACATAAGATTTCTTCACACATAAAATAATCGATGAAACATTCTAAATTATAGGGTCTGAATGATAACCGTTAGCAGAACATATCGTAAATCTTCTCGTTCCTAGTGCCTTTTGAACGAATTTAATCTTAAACGTAGGTGTGAGTGTGGATGTAGGTTCACAAGGCAATATATCTGAGTGCGGGTGAGGCAGAAAGCTTGGCAAATGCGAAACACTTCTTGTGATGTTGTTGAGAGTGTGTATATAATTTGACTTTTAATCTGAAAAACAGCAATCTCATTTCTTTGATTTTCTTGAAAAACTACGCACTGTCTTTTCAAGTTTGTGATTGAAAAATTCTTGAAAATCATTAAATTTCTTCGAAATAGCTAGCTTTCTGTTTTGTTTTGCAAAGATATTGCATAGAAATTGTTGTCGAACATAAATTATAAGTTAGAGAAATTTCACTGAAGAAGTCTTTGTTTCTTACTGTCCTGTTTTGTGTGTGAGTATGGGTGAGGGCGGCTGAGGGTGCGGTTCAAGAAGAGGCAGCCACACCGAACTCGAACCGATTCTGAAACAACAAATTCAAATCGAAGTGAGTTTAAGAAAAGTGAATCAAACCGAGCACGACTCACTAAAACTCGATTTGATCTTTTTTTATTACGTGAAAAACTGTGATCCTAAGATCTTAACAGTACACATGAGTAAAAAAAAGAGTAACACGAGAAAGAACAACGAAAGTAAAGATAAAAAACGCATATTAGTAAAAAAGAAAAAAGCAACTTTAAAGATGAGACGGAAAAATTCCATTCGATTTGATCTTTATTTCCTATGCCAGTATACGAATACGATCATTACTGTTATACATATTAATATGTAATTGCCAAGGAAATGGGCAGTCGTTCAAGTCAATGGCGATAGAATTCTTTTGCTTCGTACGTTCATTTTCAAGTTCGATAGTTTGACTATCACAATTTAGTGTTAAGTAAAGTATGTCGTTTTCAACAATATCACCTTGATAGTTATTGTATCCAACGCTGTATTCACCATTTAAATACACATACTTGAACATGGCCCATCCGTTGCTTGATTTTGAAGAGAAAGAATTCTTTTGAGTTGCAGTATTTTGGGATATAATTCCCCAAAACATCCAATTGTTATTCGTCATTTTTTCAATTTTCAAACCGATTTTATGAGTTCCCGTTGAGTATTTCGTGAAACCTCGAACTTCAGCAGCAATTTCTGTTTCATTATGTTCTGCAACGAGACCGTTTTCTAATATATGAACACTATCACATCCTTTCTCAAATTTTTCTGATGAATTAATGGGATCTGTCATGATTTCAAGCCGTTGCAACCATGTTTCATCCTTTATCTTCTGTAACTTTACATCTGATGGTGTTGATAACTGATTTTTTAACTTTTCCAATGCTTGCAGCCATCCACTTAAATCTTTCTCTGAGTAACCATCGGCTTCTTTACCTGTCTTCAATTGAGTCGAAATTTCTTCTTACTAGTCAATAACTGATCAAGATCACATCGAACTTTCTCTGCTGCATATCTTATCTTTTCTACACTCTCACGTTCCCAATTATTGATTTCCATCATTAATGGATGTTGACTTAACACTGTATCTTGTTCATTGAGTTGCTGTTGAAGAAGATCGTGATGATAAATCACATTATCCATTTGTTTTATTTAATGTGTCGTTCTAAAAAAATGAAAGAAACGAAAAGAATCCATTGTATAAAGAAGATAATTATACTATAAAACTACACTCAGAATATGTAGTACACTAAAAAATAATGTTTATTTAGAGTTAAAATGAGAATGTGGGTGCGACTTAACAGAAGATAAACTCTTACCCACCTTTATACTCACAAACATATACACACTCACCCTCTTTGTGAAATACGATCTAAATCAAGTCCTGAATTGTATAGAGGTAGACATCATTAATTAATATAGAATAGTTAGCAAAATCTAATAGGTGTTAATCAATTAGTGTTAGTCGGCATCGTCGACTATGTCGAACACTACTCAGTCAGGTAAGCTTTGAAAAAAATGACGCTTCTACACGTTGAAAAAAATTTGTTTTTTTGCAAAAAAAATCAAGCTGGTAAATATTAACGTTGTGTGATTCATTTTTCTCAAGAAAGAAATTCTTTTTCGATGTTTGTCTGACTCGATAGCAAAGGATTACTCATAGTATGATGAAAGATTGTCGCAGGACGTAACTTCTGTGATTGGCTGGGCTTAATACGAATGACAGTAGCTACTTCGTTTTTATCATTATAAACCCCAGAGGTGTCGCTGACAGCAATTGTTTCAAAAATTTTGTGAGTGTATTCTATGATATCTTTTAATCATATAAACTTATTTTTTATTAAAGAGAGATTGGATTTTCTACTGATGCTATATTTTAATATGGATCACTTAAATGGTAGTCTTAAAAAATAATATTAATAAAAATATCATTGAATCTTGAGGCTGGGTATGAGTAAGTGGAAGTGGGTTGATTGAAGAACAGTTACAATCAATCCATATCTAGACCCTCAAGCCTTCGTGACATCACTATAGAAGGAGAAATATTCTTATTCAAATCAGAAGAATTATGTAAAAAATAAAAAATCAGGCTTTCCTTACACGTTTTAGTGCGAACAATGACATGGGCATAACTTTTGATCGCAGAACTATGAGCATGAATCCTTTTAGGGCTTGGCTAGTCCTACTGAAGCCTACCTGAGCATAAAGTATGGAACCTGAATCGATAGGACACCACAGATACTTCCTTTGACAGTCTATTTCCGACAAATTATCACAAGGTTTAATAATGCTGATCAGAGTCTCTTCAATTAAGTAGTATTGGACAAAAAGATTTCTATGGTTCAGCATTTTATATCGGTAAAAAGGAGTCTTTTAATACTTCGGTATCGTTGAACAGAACCGTATCAAGTTGAAATTTTCTATAAATAAAGCTTTCTAACATACAGTATCATCGCCCGTAACCTTTCGTGAGTTTAAGACTACCATAAAGAACTAAAAACCAACTAAGCACATAATATAAAATCAAGACACTTCTTGTCATGTCCACCGGACATGATATACTCTCTTTCTTCTTTCATACATCTACTTGCATTCATACTCCTCTCACTTTCCTTCTTTCTCACACACATACATCTGACTCTATCTTCCACATATTTTGGATGTTTTATACATTTCATCTCGTGTTCTTCTTCGTTTCATCTTTTATGATATAGCTTACGCATGATGATATGTACTTATGGTATGCTTCACTCCTTTCTATTTTTGCAATCATATGCGTTCGTTTTCTTGTTGTTTTTTTTTCATTTATATTCGTTCGATTCTTTTTTGTTTTTGGAATATACACGATGAGATATTCATCACACTTCTGCAAAACTCCTTATTTTTTCAATAGTATTAGGATGTCAGTTTAGCTATACTGATGTCCAAAACTAAAAAATATTCAATTTCTACAAGATCAGGTTTATGGTTATAGGCAGACCTCCTTCGTATACGCTGCTTATATGACACTATATATCGCTCGTAACTATCTTATCTGTATCCACTGTCGTACTCCTCTATGCGTTTTGTTATTCTTTCTTCTTCGTTTCTTTGGTTCTTATCTGTCGTATATTTGCAACGAAAAAGTTTGCATACACATGCACACTCCAACGTACATACTCTTCTATTGCGTGTTTCTCTCGCTTCTCCCATTTTCTCAGTAAAAAATATTTTATTTACTGCTGTTGAAGCTTCACTTTATTACTTGTAAAAGGTATGTAGTGGTATAATATTTATTACAATCAGTTTCTATGTCTCAAATGTTGTCTAATGAAAAGAGTTCTAGACTGTTACATTAACGACAGTGTGAATGGGTCTCCGTTTATATTTCACTTACATTTGGCGAGACATATAAGCTACGCTTCAGATCATCTTATTTATATGATAACTGAAAATCTCATAGAATAGAAATGAAAAATCAACTTTGTTCGAAGGTCAAACAATGATGGATATTCTGCACATGTTCATGTACGATTCTGAAGTAGAAGTCGGCAAGTTCAAGCTCACGAGCTCCGTTTAAATGAACTAAGGAACTGAGCCCTCCAAGCAGTTCTTCAGAACAACCGTGCAAGAGATCCTCATGTCTCATTATAACGAGATATTCTTAGATCTTTAAGCCATATAGTAGAAAAGTACTCTAAGATTCTCAAATCCTATATTGAGGAGTGCACGCAGATCCTGATTGAGGACCTACGGATGCATTTCTAATATAGGACTCGAGAACCTGATAGAACCCACTTAATATAACACTTGATACTCTAGAGTCTCTCCCACGTATAAGACTTGAAGGTCTAAGGGTATTCTGTAATATAATAGGACACAAGGATATGTGATACAGTTCTTATCGATGAAATATCTGGAAGGCTCAGCTCGTTTAGACTGAAGTTTCTAAAAGGTTCAGTTTCTTCAGAAGAACTGTTCATACAGTTCAGTTCGTGGCAATCAGCGCTTTGAGCAGTTCACCAGTTCTAAACTAGAACTGAACTTTGTTTGTCGAAATATGGATTGACAACCAGAGTAATCGTCTCGCGTGTTACGCACTTATATCCGTACTCATATATTTACCTTAAGCACTTATTTGAGATAATATATATACTAACATTTTCGTTTTTAGAGATTTATTTGCAAAAATCAGAAATCTCGTGTATTAAAATGAAGAGATTTCATTTCTCGCCAACAAAATTAAACGAAACTCCAAATCAAGATGATCTGAGAGTTGTATATATTGGTTCCAGTCGTGCGCCCGATGAATTAAAAGGGTTTGATGAAAATTTAACAGAATATGATTCATGTGAAGCTTGTGAAAAACATATAAAGAAAGTTGAAAGTGAACGTAAATTTCTTCTGATATTAAAAGGGTTTTTACCTAAAACAGCTTTGGAAAACTTATATCAAATCCAATCGATTTATATTTTAAAAGAAAAATATCAAAAGCTGGAAGATACTTCACAAAATCATCGAAAAATAATTGGAATATTTGACGATGTCGATACATTAATCAACCGGTTGCATAAAGATATCATATTAGGATACGGAACTGATTTACCCATCAGTATATCTCCTTTGCATGAAATCAAAAATGAGCAATCATTAACCAAAGTCGATGGAAATACATTAATGTTTTTATGGGAACAAATTTTTCTTAATTATCTAGTTCATCCTATGACATCCACTATGGAGCAATTAAAAACTGATATGTTAAAACAATGTGAATTAGATTATAAACATGATAAAGTTCAACTACAGTTGATCAAGACGTTTGGTGAAAATTGTTCAGATAACAATGCATTAGAATGGTATAGCAAAGATTGTTTTCTATATCGAATTTTAAACAAAGCCTTTCGAACGAGAAATATTGACCTTATGTGTAAATTTCAATATTTCATTATTCATCTATATCAAAACTTTCAACGTTTATCCAAATCACAAGAGAAAACTTGTTCAGTTGTTTATCGAGGACAAATTATGAAGAAGAGTGAACTTGAGAAATTAAAATCAAATATTGGACGTTTAATTTCGATCAATACGATTCTATCAACATCATGTAATAAAGATATTGCATATTCATTTATTCTTGGAGCTGATGATGGAGTGATTTTTAAAATAAATATTCCAGATGGAAGTGAGAAGTCATTTCGACCATTTGTTGATATTTCACAATTTAGTACAATGCCATGGGAAGGAGAAGTATTATTTTTTCTTGGCACTGTTTTTTCTCTTGATTCTGTTCAACATCTACCTGACTTACCATGTATTATTGAACTGACACTGAATAATGATCCAGTGAACCATCTTAGAAAGTTAGTTTCTATATTCGCACCAGGAAATCAGATGAATACAGATATGTATCTTTCCATCATGAAAACAAGTGAACCATATCAGATCATTCAAGGATTTTTTAATTTGATCGTCGATCCATTTATTAAAGAAATTAAAAGCAATCATCATTTAATTATGCAAACAGATGATTTTAATATGATCGAACGATACTATCATATATTAACAGGAAAACCATTTTCATTAAGCAATAGCCCTACGATGATGGCTTATATTCATTTCGCTTTTGTTCTCAGTAATTTAGGCTTCTATGACAAAGCGATTCGGTTATATGAACAAGTTCTTTCGCTTGATAATATTTCTTCAACGAGTCCTCAGTTTCTAGTTATTCATATTATCATCGGGCATCTTTATTATCATTCGTCTCAATATGATCAAGCTTCTTTGCATTATGCTATTGTATTATCCATATTAGATGAAGAAAATTTATTAACAGGCGAACTTTACAGATATATTGCTGATATAAAGAGGAAAAACGGCGATGTATACACCAGTTTATTATATTACCAAGAAGCATTGAAATCTGCAAAAAATCGATATATTCCGTCTCTACGACATATTTATCTAGAGATCATCGATATATTAGAAAAGCAAGAGAACGTTGGTGAGGCTGTTGCTTATAAAAGCCAGTTAAATGAAATCAATCCGAAAGAATATTATATATCAGTATCAACGTGGGGTAATTCAAATCTTCTAGATGATTGTCGAAACCAATTGAATAACGAGCAGCAACCAATTGAACGTGCTGATTTATTATATAAAATTGGTTTACATTATGAAGTACAAGGCCATTTTAAAGAAGCTTTAGAACATCTTTTACAGGCGAAAGATCTCTATATAACTCAACCACCATCATGGGATCGTTTTCCTAGACATCTGCCGATATTATTCGATAACATTGCGATGCTTTATCTACTCTTTAAAGATTATTTGAAGGCGTTAATTATGTGGAGAAAAGCTATTGACATACGGATTAGTTTTGTTCCTTATTAATTGCTAATAAGCGAATGTAAGAAAAACTTTCGCCACTTTTCGTAAGGGTGTGTTTATGAATAAAAACGAATTGCTACGATGCTTTACGATTTGTGTAAGTCTCGTCAAATGATTAAAATTAAACTAACTACTACAATCTGGAGGGTGTGTGTGGGCGTGTGTGTGAGGGTGTGGGTGTGGGTGTGGGTGTGGGTGTGAGTGTGGGTGTGGGTGTGGGTGTGGGTGTGGGTGTAAATGTTATTATCATCTGATACCCATCTACACCCTCACACACACCCACACCCACTCTCAGGAGTTCTGCGAACGCGGTATCCTCTCTCTACCAGAGCGTTGGCCACAAGTTATAGATAGTAATGGAGTATACATTGTTCCAAGCTAGTTGTATTCTTGAAGTTGAAAGCTAAAAATAAAATTTTCGAAAAAAAACGCAAAAAATTTCTTACCAATCTAATAAAAAGAAAGAGAATAAGTTGTCTACTAATTCATCAACTTTCCTCGCACACAAACAACGCTGCCTATGTTTGTGAATCGATTTCTGTGTTGATTCTTCATTTTCTTTTCTTGACAACAAACATTGAAGAAATTGAAATAGAGTCCGTGGATGAAAACAGAAGCACAAATGCTGAGAAGTGATCGTCAGAGAATGAAACAATGGTAGTGATGAGAATGTCATATAAATAACAACGGTTTCTTTCTTTTCTCGTGTTATTCATTATTTACGAGCGCAATTGTAGTGTGTAAAATCCAGTAGTTCTGTGAGTAAGGACACAAGCAACAAAGTGGAAAATATTGTCAAAAGAATATACAACAGCCAACTGATAACATTTGATATCCTAGCAAAACAGTAATGGATTATTTGAAAGACGATATTGACATTCAGTTAATAGGCAGAGTGAAGAATACCAGATCTAGCGAAGGTAAGAACAAATGATGAGAGTGTGTGACAGTGGATTGAATTGCACAATACAGCTCAATAGTGATAATAATACGGAGGGATGGACCATATCCCTTAAAAGAGAGAAGCTGTTCCAATTCAAGGAGAAATCCTTTACCCACATAAAGTCAAGGGGATATTTTTTCCCATACAGGTCGAAACAATTCGAGGTCCAAATGTTGATCCATATCTCCACCCATAAGGAGAAATGAAAGAAAGAAAATAGAGATATGGATGATTTTATTTTTCGTTGTAAGGAGATGTTTGTGTTATCGTTAATTGTATAAGAAGATGGTAGTTTCAGAAGCGGAATAACAGTTTTGTATCAGGATAAAATGCAAATATTCAGTGGGCAGAGAATGGTTACTTTGATCATTCTCATTGCTTGTAATAGAACATATTCTACGAATATTACTTAAGTGATATGGTTTGGTTCATCACTTGAAATTAACTCATTTCAGTGAAAGTCGAAAGAATAGAAGAAGAATGCACGAAGATAACGAAAGGAAAATTACCATACGAACATAGATGTAAAAGTAAAGGAGAAAATCCCGTACGATTACATACGAAGGGATAGAGAAAAATAGCATATATATATATATGTGAGGCAAAGTAAAAAAATACTATATAATCAAATACATGAAAGAATGGGGAACAAATAATTTATATGTTCGCTCACGAAAGATATTCTAGGGGATGTAGTTTTTTACCAGTAGAAATGGATGAATACTAATGTGAAATGGTTTATCCATATCTCCACTCATAAGGAAAAACCGAACTTGAAAAAAGGATTTCTCTCGAAATGAAAATATGGATATCGTATTCATTTAGATATTGAATTCGTATATATTCAGGTTTGTTTGATGTCTGTTTAAAATAAAAAGGATTTCTCTTTGCGGTGTATAAAGGTAGAGTATCGAGTAATTCATTGAATAGATGTCGCTTTCGTGTTTTCCATTTTTCCTTAATGTGTTGCTTTTGTTGGGGTAAACCATTTTTCCTTAAAGTGGAACAGTTTCTCGATCGACGTCTCCAATGGTCCACTGCTGATAATACGAAGAAGAAGATCAAAGAACTGTAGTTTTACCTGGGTGTGAGTGTGCGTGGACGGATGTGTGTATGGGTGGGTGTTGAGTCATTTCTGGTACACCCACCCCACATCCACAACTACCAACACTCACGCATCCATCCTCTTGATGAATTTGACAGGGAGAAGTAAAAGGGATATATAGTAATGCTGAATGTTTATTTTGGTAGAAGGAATTTTGGCGAAGGTGGGAAGACGAACGAGAGAAAGGTATGAACGGATGGTTGGTGTTGGTGCTCAAGTATTGGTATGGTTAAATTCGACAACAGATGAAAGTGATGAAGATTATTCGAAATGGGTGATCGAATTGCAAGGGATTGTGAATAGAGTGAAGATATGTGTTGATGTTGATGAATGTGTTAATAATGTCACAGAAATGGTCGATGAAAAGATACTGGTGTTAATGTGGGACGCTATCGGTTCTGAACTAATGCCGATAATACATGAAAAGTCACAAGTAGTATCGATATATATAATCAGTGATAATAAATCGAAATGTGAAGGATGGTTTAAAGAATGGAAGAAAGTGAAGGGTATTTACATGGATATGGAAGCAGTATGTAAAAAACTGCGCGAAGGGACACGTCAATGTGATCGAGATTCGATTGGGGTAACAATCACAAATGGCAGAAAAGTGAATGAGCTGGATCCCACATTTATGTATATTCAATTGTTTAAAGAGATTATACTTGACATGAACTATGAAAACGAACAAGAGAGAAAACGAATAGCGGATGCATGTCGTAGAAATTATGCAAGTAATGAAAATGAGTTACGAAGGATAAAAGAATTCGAAGAAGAGTATGAAAGGCACAGTCCAATATGGTGGTATACTCGTGAGTGTTTTACATATAAGCAAGTGAATTCTGCATTGCGTACATTCGATACAAATATGATAGTGACGATGGGATATTTAATCCAGGGTATTCATCGCCGAATCGAAGAGTTGTATAGAGAACAACAACAACAAGAGGGAGAAGTACAAGAAGAAGAACATGCTGCACGTGGACAGGTGTTTACGGTATATCGTGGTCAGGGGTTGAGTAAAACTGATTTGCAAGAGATAGAAGAAGCACAAGGCCGTGGTTTATTATCGTTTAATAACTTTTTATCGACAAGTCGTAATCGAACAGTGGCAGATATTTTTGGAGGTAATAGCGTTGAAATGAGTGATAGAGTAGGGGTAGTATTCATAATTAAAGTAGGCGTAAGAGTGAGTAGAACTGCATTCGCGGTGTTATCTGGTGATGACAGTTATTTCGGAGGAGAAGAGGAAGAAGTACTAATGTCGATGAATACCGTATTTCGAATAGAGGGAGTACGAGAACTAGATGCTAGATCTCGTTTGTATGAAGTTGACTTGTGTGTAACAAATGACACTGACGAAATATTACAAGTGTTGGCTAACACGATGAGAGCGGAACTGGATAAAGGGAGTGGATGGCATCGCATGGGTCAATTGTTAATTCTTTCCGGAGATTATCATCACGCTGAAGAATTGTATATGGTGTTATTTGCAAGTGCGAACGAAGATGATTTGGAAGAAATCACTCATCTGAATCAGCAACTTGGATGTGTAAAATCCTATCAAGGTGAATATATGAAATCATTGGAATACTTCGAGAAAGCGCATGAAATTTATATGAAGTCATTGCCAGAGAATCATGCTAGCATTGCAACCAATTATAATAATATCGGCGATGTATATTCTAATACCGGAGAATATAAAAAAGCATTGGAATACTATGAAGAATCGTTGAAGATAAGAGAAAAATCGTTGCCGGAAAATCATCCTTCTTTAGGTACAAGTTACAATAATATTGGTTTGGTGTATTACAACATGGGAGAATACTCGAAATCATTGGAGCACTATGAGAAATCCTTGAAAATAAGGGAAAAATCGCTACCTGAAAATCACCCGGATATTGCAACAAGTTACGGATATATTGGTTGTGTTTATTCTAATATGGGAGTGTATCCAAAATCATTAGAATACTATAAGAAAGGTCATACAATCTGTCTAAAATCGTTGCCTGAGAATCATCCAGATATGGCCACAAGCTATAATAATATTGGTATGGCGTACTATAATATGGGAGAATATTCGAAATCATTAGAATACTATAGTGAATCGTTGAAGATAATGGAAAAATCGTTGCGCGAGAATCATCCTTCGCTGGGTACTAGTAACAACAATATTGGTTTGGTGTATTACAATATGGGAGAATATTCAAAATCATTGGAACACTATAACAAATCTTTGAAGATAAGGCAAGAATCGTTGCCCGAAAATCATCCTGATATAGCTACAAGCTACGCATGTATTGGTGGTGTGTATTCTAATATGGAAGAATATTCGAAATCATTGGAATACTACCAAAAATCGTTAAATATCAGGGAAATAGGGTTGCCTGAAAACCATCCAAATATAGCAATCAGTTATGAAAATATTGGTAATGTGTATTGGCAGATGGGAGACAATTCAGAACCATTGAAATACTATAAGAAATCATGGACCATACGAGAAAAGTCGTTGCCTGAAAATCATCCAGATATGGCGACAAGCTACAATAATATTGGTTTGATGCATGAAAGAATGGAAGAATATTCAAAATCCTTGGAATGCTATGAGAAATCGTTCAATATCAGGGAGAAAGTGTTGCCTCCAAACCATCCAGATATAGCAACCAGTTACGGATGTATTGGTGGCATCTATTTTAAAATAGCAGAATATTCCAAAGCACTGGAGTACTATGAGAGAGGGCATGAAATCTATGTAAAATCATTACCAGAGAATCATCTAGATATAGCAAACAGTTATCAGTGTATTGGTGGTGCGTATTATGGTATTGGAGAATATTCGAAATCATTAGAATACTATGTCAAGTCGGTGAAGATAATGAAACAGTCGTTACCTGAGAATCACCCGTTGTTAGCCACAAGTTACAATAACATTGCATTGGCGTATGAAAAAATGGGAGCATATTCTCAGTCATTGGAATACTATGAAAAGGGACTTGAAATCTATCTAAGATTGCTGCCTGAGAATCACTCAGATATAGTAACAAGTTATGATAACATTGGTAAGGTGTATTCACAAATGAAAGAATATTCGAAGTCCTTGAAACATTATGAGAAATCGTTGAAGATGAAGGAAAAGTCGTTGCCGGAAAATCATCCTTCTTTAGGTACAAGTAATGATAATATTGGTTTGGTGTATTACAATATGGGAGAATACTCGAAATCATTGGAACACTATAAGGAATCGTTGAAGATAAAGGAAAAATCGTTGCCGGAAAATCATCCAGAGATAGCCACAAGTTTTGGATGTATTGGCAGTGTGTATTCTAGTATGGGACAATATAACAAATCATTAAACTACTATGAAGAATCGTTGAAGTTATTACAAAAATCTTTGCCTGAGAATCATTCTTCATTAGCTACAATTTACAATAATATTGGCAATGTGTGTTCTAATATTGGAGAATATTCGAAATCTTTGGAATACTGTGAGAAGTCATTGAAGATAATGAATAAGTCGTTGCCTGAGAATCATCCTTCATTAGCAACAAGTTACAATAACATGGGTAATGTGTATTTTAGTATTGGAGAATATTCGCAATCTTTGGAATACTATGAGAAAGGACATGAAATATTTGTAAAATCATTTCCTGTAAATCACCCGTATATTGCTGTTAGTTACACTAATATGGGTAATGTGTATTCTAACATGGGAGAATATTCGAAAGCACTCGAGTGTTTGGAAACAAGTGTGAAAATCATGAAAACATCGTTGGGATTGGATCATCCTTCTTTTGTGTCGACATATAGTTGGATTGGACGTACATATCGTTCTATGAAAGATTATGTAAGATCATTATCATATTTTGAAAAGGCATTAGAAATATGTAAAATATCACTACCTGAAACACATCCTTCTTTGGCAATCACGTATAGTAACATAGGAGATGTTAAAAGATCGATGGGTGATTATCCAAACGGATTGATGTATCTTCGAAAAGCGGTTGAGATGCAAGAAAATGTCAGTTATTATTCTATATCTTTGGGCTGGACATATAGTTATATGGGTGAATTATATCGTGAGAAGAAAGACTATGTGAAAGCAGTGAAATATTATGTACACGCTAAAGAGATAGGCGAAAAGAAGTTGGATGGTGAGCATAAATATATGTGTGCGATAAACTACAATCTGGGGAAATTATATGATGAAATGAATGAGTTTGAGATGGCATATATAAGTGTATTGAGAGCAGTTGAAGTTGGCGAAGAACGGTTAGGTGTTCAACATGTTGATGTGCTGGAATATAAGAAGACTTTAATGGAAATAGAACTTCGAAAGAGAATGACAAGAGTTGAAAATGAAAATTGTGGTTATAAGAGTTGACAATCAAGTTGTAAAATGTAAAGTGTAAAATCAAATAAATAAAACGAAAGAAGGGAAATCTAAGATCAAAGTGAAATTGAAATTGAATTTGAGGATGAGTTGGGTGTGAGTGTGGGTGTAGGTATAGATATTGACTTTATCACACTCACATCCACCCCTTCTTTAGTCAAGTAACAGTGTCTGGTGCAATGAGTTTTCTTTATTTGACTGCATTCGATCGTTGGGCATGTACATCTAGATCAGCTTGAGTACGCCAACTAAATTCAAATCGTGTTGCACGTTATCTTGTTTTATTTACATTTCTTTTTTGGTCATTGGTGAACATTCCTTATCTTATTTTTTGTGATTTAATCCCACCAACATACGTTTGCTTTTCAACGAACGATGGTTTTTACAAATATTGTCTTTTATTTCCTTACTCCTTTTTTCTCTGCTGTTTTTTCTTTGCTCGTCTTAATTATATTTATTATTCTTACACATCGAAATATTCGTCTTATTGCTCATATACATGATCAACAGCGACCTAATCGAACTCGTTTGTCAATGTGGGAACAACAAATGACGAGAATGATGGTTGCTCAAACTAATTTAAGAATCTTCTGTACACTTCCCCGAGCTATCTTTTATACTTATTCTGTAATCACATTTGAACAGCGTGCAACAAGAAGTTTTAATCAAATTTCGATTGAATTTTTCACCGATCAACTGACAGTATCTATTATGTCCATAAATTTTGTTTCATCATTCTGTATTTATTTTCTCTTTTCACCACGTCTTCGACAGATCATCAAAATGCATCTAAAAAGTATATGTCATTTGACACCTAATCAAGTTGTTCCCATCGACAATTCTCTTACTATTGAGCAAAATTGTATGAAACAATATTAATCCATCTGCTGATCTACTGTTTGTTCCTACATCTTATGTTGTACTTAGTAAAGTCTTGTGTAGACTAACATATTTTAATAAAGAAGAATTTTAAACGGAATCGATTGACCCTTGTTTAATTCAAGTATCTTAATTTTTAGAATAAATTAGTTTTTAATGTTTTTTCTTGTATTGAAGGATATGAGTAAGAGTGTAGAAATTCTCTTCACAGCTCAATCGCACATACATCTACTTATGGGTGGGCGTGGGTGTGGGTGTTATTATAATCGGAAACCCACCCACACCCATACGCGCCATGGTAGCTCTCGCTCACCTTCACCTACACCCTCAATTAAAAGAAATCTATATCGAATTTAGATATTTTATTTAAATGTTTTTTCAAGCAAACAGCAAATACATTTAATACTAACAACATAAAACATATAAGAAAACATGTCAAGTAATAAACTAATCTGTTACCGGTGTAATTTCTACTGATCGACGTCGTATTAATTTAACAAGAATGACTGCAATTAATCGACAGATGATGGCAACACCACCATATAGAGAAATAAGTTCAATAATTCCTTCTTTGAAATTGCTTTTCTTATAAATACATAATGAAGGTTTACATTTACTAAAATAAATCTCATAATCTAGATCGTGTATAAGGTTTTCCACCATTAATTCACTGAGCAATGCTTCATATGTTGTATTGATCGAAAAACGACTTGAATTCCCTGGATTACTGAGTGAGTTATTATTGCCTGATTTATCCACACATTTTGCATCGTAGAGACACGCCATTGGTAATTGTGAAAAAGCTTCGGTGACATAACAACCATACTTTATTCCAAAAAAACTCTTTTGTACACTTCGGAGTCAGTCTACAATCACATCCTTGCTCGACAACTGGTATAGTATGTACAGTATATCCAGGAGTGGAAATATTATCGGATGGATCAGCAAATATCCAACTAGAACCATAAGTATTCATTAATTTGTTTGACGTTACTGTCATTCATGCTAATTCAAATGTATTTACTAATGTTTTTGAGACTCGCCTTGGAAAATCATACATAATCGTTTGGATATATTCTGTTAATGAAGATTTTGACATTAGTTGATCATTGACTAGATTACTTGTTAATAATTTTTTGAGCGATTCTTTCAATGTTTCCTTCGATAATTGACAAAGTCCGTTGAGGGTGTGGGTATGGGTGTGGGTGTGGGGTGTGGGTGGGTGTGGGTGTGGGTATGGGTGTGGGTGTGGGTGTGGGTGTGGGTG